ATGACCCTAATGCTTTTATTTCAATTGGCAATTAATAATTAAGGAAAAAAAGACAATGCTAGCAGAAAGCAAATCTCATCTATTTATACTATGATAGTGATGAATTATGCCAAAAATAAACAGAATACATAAAGATCAAAGAGAGACATCATTTAATAACATGTATACATAATATTATGATCTGCCAGAGACAAAATACCACCTCTTCTAAGAAGGATGTTAATAAAAACTCTAATAGAGAGTTTTGTAACTACCTTGAGGGTGGGGAAAAGTACAGTATTCCAAGTAATTAGGAAAAATAATTAGGAAAATATTGTAATGGATTAGCTGACTGCATCTGTAAATGAGACTGAGGAGAACTGAAAGTATACAGCTGAGGAGGAGGGGAAGAACAGCTGAAGAGATAGCTATTAAACTGGTTTTGTCTTCCCTGTCAAGTTCTCCTCCTTTGTAAACTAGGAAGTTTTTTAACAAAACATGACCAGCAACAAAAATAAACACAACTAAGAGTGTCTAAGCCAAAGAATGTAAGGAGGTGGTCTGAGAAAGGAACATGTTTTCCCATCCTTTGTCAAGACTCATACCCCTCTAAAACAGACTGGGAACTGCCAGGTGTTCACATGTATTGCTTTTATAGAACAATAAGCCAATTAAATGAGGTGGTTTTTTAAGTATATTGATTCATTTTAGCACTAGATAACAAGACAGGAAATGAGCTTCAAAAAACTAAACCCCTAAGTATCCTTTGTCATATACATGTACCTTTGTGCACTCACAGTACAAATATCTTCCACTCACTCACTAAGTTGCTGCTGATAAAGACAGCAACTCTTAAAAATTGTTGACAACTGCATCTGCATTCTGGCAGAGCTCTAAATTTACCCTTAGGAAAGTGAGCATAAGTGTGCTAAGCTAAATCAACTCAATGTATAGTAGAGTGCATCTAAATAAACAATTAGAACTGCTCCTGCTATGCTACAAGTAGTAAAATAATTAGGCCCATTATGGGTATATCAATTTTCTACTGTGAGGCACTGAAGTCACCAACTTCAAAATATTCCTGTTTTTTTAATTTCCTCAGAACTCCAGTAATTATTTCTCTGTGCCCTCTCCAGATGGATGTTGGCCCTTCTTCCCACAGGGAAAATGCAACTTAATGTGTAACAGTAAGAAAATTTTTAATATGTGAAACTGCCAAAAATTCCCACAAAATATGAAAAAAATCTACGTTTTCTTGTAAGGAAAAAAATATTCATTAGGGCCCAAGCGACATAGCTGCACACTGAGAACTGCTGCATTTTACAGAAAACCAGACATTCTGACCCCAGCCTGAAAACCAAACAAGCTGAGAACTTTCAAGTCAAAATTAAACTGCATTAATGGCTGGTGGTAATGAAATCAGCTGCTCAGCTATATTGAGGAGTTTCAGAACTACTTTTGGAGGGCAAAAAAAAAAAAAAAAGCACAAAGCAAAAATGCATTATATTCTGAAAAACCCATTCCTTTAAATAGATACAGGGCATCTATTTGGGAATGTGTAGTTGTACCAAGGGCACATTAAATGGATGCACTAATAATATCAAAAGAGAGAATCTGCAGTAAAAGTGAAGCATATACAAAAGCATCATGTTCAGAATAGAAATGTGTATTAAAATCGTTTGACTAATATTCCCCCCCCCCCCAAAAGAAAAAATAAAAAAAAGCTGTTCCTCTCTGAACAAAAGCTGCAGATCAAACACTCTGGTTTGCCTTGCAGCACATTCTGCTTTTGCAGAGCTGTTCTTAGTAGACTAGAGTTAACTCACCAAATAGAAAAAACAACTTTAGATATTTTTCCTTTTAAAGTTGGAAATTTCCTGCTCTGACCTGAACATGCAAGTCACTATTCCTGGCTAATGTTCGCTACTAATGCCCCTAAAAATTATCAAGCTTTCCAACCACACAAAATAGGTACTTTCTCATACTTCCAGCATGACAACAACAGACTCATCTGCTGCCAAAACAACAGACCCATTGTCCTGACATCACATGCAGAGACATCCAGCAGCCACAGGCCTTTCTGCACCCAGCAAAAGCTCATTAGTGCAGTGTACAGTACAAGCCAGACCCCCAAAGGCTTTTGTCTGGAAGAATAGTGAAACAAAAAAATTCCTGACAGATCATTCATACTTTGGATCAAACAGTCTACTTGAAAGGAGAAGGTGGAAAAAAAGATTCCAATCTATCACTTTTGACAATGGAGCCTTCTGGAACTCTACAAAAACTAAGTTCTATGTGTATTTTAATGCAGCCTAGATGAAGTCAATCCTAAAAGATTTACCAATCTGAAAATGAATCACTGAGATGAGGTTCTTAAAGTATTCTTTATTAATATCATTAGAAGTTGCAGAAACAACTTTCTTGTAATATAAAGGCACAGGGAGACAGCTGTGATAAAATATTCCAAACAAACAGTAACTTACAGTACAAAAGGACAATTTTAATGCACATACAAACCCCAAACATCTCATTCAAAAATATTTCACCATGTTCAGCAATAATAATGGGCAATGACTAAAAATATAAATTGTTATTATACAATAAATATCTGACAGGTGCAAACGGAACAAGATTTATTGCTCTCCACAATGTTTTCCCTGTAGTGTTTTAGTTGTAGTGGATTTTGGTGGATTTTTGTTTGGTTGGGTTTTTTTTAAAGTTCCAAATTCCTTTTATAATTAACTTTAGTAACTTATTTCGGGAGGAACTAAACCCCAAACAAAATCTAACAGAACATTCTGATAGTTACAGGACTGTCTTGAGCAGTAACCAGGACTGGCAGTGTTTGTGTCTCTCACAACTTTAACAATCACACTCCACTCGCTCACTGGGAAATGTAGTAGATGTCTAAAAATCAACTTTAGTGGTAAGTCAAGGCTTTTATGGTAGGGTAGTAGTACCTAGTCTGAGGGTTAGTCTATTTGCCTCAGGTAAGTGGATTTTATGATGAGAAATTCTCTGACAGCTTGTGCCAGAACAAGCATGTAAACCTGTGTTCAACTGAGGGGAGAAATGAAAATTAAAAGCTGCATTTGACATTCTAGCATCAGAAAACAAGACAAGGAACTGGGAGCAAATCAGGACTCCAGAGGCAATGATGACTGAGTGAGAACTTCCAATTTTAAAATATTCTTAATCATGAAATCATTAAGGTTGGAAAAGACCTTTAAGATCACCAAGTCCAACCATCAATCCAGCACCAACTCCATGTTCGCCACTAAATCATGCCCTCAAAATATAGTGGCCTAAGAAATCAAAAAAGCACTCTGCATCTCTACTTGGCTCTGCTTTCTGGGCTTTGAGAAAGAAGGGCCAGTCAGCGAGTTTGCCATTCTCCTCACCCTGCACTTGCAGCAGCAGTTTCCATCAGTCTTTTGATGCAGCAGGGGAGCCACACTGGCTCTGCTCTCGGAAGCAGCACACGCTGCCTTGCTTAGAATTCTGTTTAGCTTGTACCAAAGAGTGTTTTATACACATGTTTAAGAATATTAGTTTCCTTCATTACTGTTACAAGAAGCAATATGCATACATTTCCTAAGAGTATCTTTGTATGAATAAGACTTCAGGAATAGGAAGCATAGTAGTTACAAAAAAAAAAAAAAAAGGAAAAAAAAGCAAAACCAAAAGCTGAGGAGCAAGCTTTGTAGTGAGTTCTTGTAGCAGTAACTGAGGTTTTTATAAGAACTGTAATTTATGAGAACAACTCCATGACTCCATGTTTACACAAACCTCAACAAGACAATTTTAACTACACTGGGAATAGTCAAACTTAGTCCAGGAAAAGGTACCTAGAGTGAGCACAGCTTACTGGCAAACCAAAAGATGACTATTCTGTAAACTTCATTACACCTGAATTCAACAGAATGGGGAATGATGTAAAACAAACTGCTAACTTTCTTGCCATCATTATTGAAATTAGGGGTTTTTACTAGCATAAGCAGTTTTAGAAGTTCTTCAGAGAGTAACCAAGGATATCGAAATCTGAATTTTGAAAATTAGCTTCATTACAGTATAGCATTTTTTGCTTTATGATTTGTTTAGAAACTAAACAAACAAAACCATTTTCTTTGGTTTATGCTTAACTACACCAGACTAGTGAATTTTTCTTTTTAGTCAAGTTTCTATCCCCAATTTAAATTAATGCAAATCTTTTCATTGTAGTGTCTCTCCAATTCTAAATTGGCTCTGTTAAAAATAAGTTTGCTCATACCATGATTTCCTGCTAAACAGTTGTGTACATACTGGCATGAAGGGTAAGTTTTGTACAATAATTACATTAAGTGATATTTCCAATGGCAGAACTACAAAAGACATTAAATGAATGTTAGTTCAAATGACATTTGAGTTCATGATGATCTTTAAAAAAAAACAAAACCACAATGTCTAAGCATAGTAAAATACAGTGTAAAACCCCCTAAAAATTAGACAGTAAACATGGGAATCCTGCACTCACAGTAGGAATGTTCTGCACAGCATTAACATGAAAGCCTGTTCAATCTGAAACAATGCAGACAGCTAGATTTACCTGGATGTAAATGCTACTTCAAGGTGTTTAAAAAAAACACAAAAATGAGACAATGATGTCAGCAAAAAGGCCTCTAAAACAGGCCACCAGTCTAACTTGACTTTCCAAGTAAGAACATCAGCTTCACAAAACTGTGAACTAATGCAGTTTTATATAAAGTACCCTTTGACACACAAGCTGTCAATTAAGCTATCACAGTCTTTTGTGACCTCCTCCCTTTCAAACAGTGAGGGAGGACAGTCAATAGTAGCTCAAGTTTTCATTCAGTAAGTACCTTGTCTGTTTGCAAAGGAACATTATAACACCATAAAATTAAATCTTTATGGTAAGTAGAAAACTGATAAACTAGTGTTTTATTTTCTGGTTTTCATACACAAGTCCCAGACTTCATTTTCTTTGTGTCTTTGCAATAGTATTTTAGCCAGTGTTGCAGAAAAAGGTCACCCTGGACTACCTCACGTTGTTACTCAGCTGGGCGAGGTATTCGCGCAGTTCCTTGGCGGCCTGGAATCGGCCGTATCGCTTCTTTGGGTTGGCACACTCATCCAGCAGGGCCTCCAGCCGACCCTCTTTGGCAATTTCAGCTGGGGGGTCATGCAGGAGCCCTCCCGAAGTGCCACGCCACGTGGCGTGTCTTGATAAAAGGTTCTGACAAATGGCATAATAATTGTGGTCCACAGTGACACGAGCACAAAGAATCTCTTTCGAGAAGGACAGACAAGCTTCTTTATCACAGTCATCAAACTTGCTCTCATACCATACGTCCCAGTTTTCGGGTTTATCTGTGAAATATAAGTTAAAAAAAAGTGAGAGAGGAGAGGAAAGAGCATAGGTGTGTTTGAATACAATCAGAAGCTCAATACACAGCAAACTGGTAATATTTAAACTACAAACCAACTTTGCTCTTAGATACTCTAGTCTAAAACTGCATCTGATAGAGTGGTACACCCTTCTGCTGAACTGGTCCTGGCAATACAAAAAATAAGGGAAAGAAAGGGTAAAATAGAGTCAAGAGAGGGAAGCAAAAAAAGCAGCACAGTAAACACTTGAAATCTACATTCACACATACCCAGAGGAAAAAATGTCACATGAGCAAGTACAGAAGTTGAGAGAAAACCAAACAAGCAACACAGATTTGGTTTCTCCAGTTGCCCTGGAAACTAATGCTGCCAAGTGGTCTACCAAAGACTAAAAAAAAACATTGCAAAGTGCTTGCCATAAACTTCTGAAACATTATCTTCTATCTTACTTTTAGACATGGCAGTAACCAAGAAGTACATATTAAAAAGCAGATGGATTCCTTGTAGAATTACTTGTCATTTGAAGAAAAAATTCAACAAAGCAAAAAGCATTTGCATGCACGTATAAACCCTGCTTTAACATACACTAAAAAGTTAGCAGATTTGAAGGAGTCCTTGTCACAAAATATACATTAAAAAGTTAGCAAATTTGAAGGAGTCCTTGTCACAAAGCTTTCTTTACCTTAAAACCTGATACACATAAAATATATTATCCAGTAATAATGTGTAAAAGGGTACTAAGTGTGAGATCTCCTGAGTTCTTACTACTTTTTGTTCAAAACCCTAGTTCTGAAGTTTCTAGAGCACTGTCAGGTTTGAGAAGAGGTCAATATCATGGAGTTTCATAGTTGTGCAGATGTTTCTTGGCAGTGTGAGGTAGAAAGAAAAATTCACCCATGCCTGGTAGTCTCTGAGCTGACTATTGTTTTCTTGTTCAGGGCACACTGAGCACCAGCCCAGGGCAAAAAAAAAAGCATACTGAAGGATGAGTGCTAGAACTATAAAAGCATGCTGAAAAATTTTTAGAATAGCAGCAAAGTGGGAAAAAAGCCAGTAAAGGAAAATGGGGAAAAAGGACTTAGTGAACTCAAATATGATATCCCACACAGAGTGCAATTAGGTATTACTGTACAGTGCAACTGGACAGAGTGTACATATTCCAATATCTAAACAGGCATATTAATCACTCAGAGATTGTTTAATGAAATTTTCCAAAAGATTAATGAAATCAGCATTAAATGTCAAGTTTATACAAAGACTGAGAACTTTGTTGTGTCCTCATTTGTTTTATGTGTTCCTGTTTGTTAGATCACAAATCACGCAGCAAAATCCTAGTTAGAGCCAAATTAGTCTGAGACTACAGACAACAGATGTAAGTGTGACACTTCCAGCATTTAGCTACTGCAAGAAGCTACTTGCTCCTATTCCATGTAAACATCAACTTTTTCAGAGTTCATCTGGTCATCTTTGTGACTGAGCAATTCAGACATGCTCCAAGCATCAAAGTCTTTAGTAATACTATTTTAAAGGGGTGGGAAAATGAAAAAAAAATTAAAATAAGACTTCTAAAGTAAATGTACTGGATATCCAATACATTACAAGGTTTTCTTGGTAGGTTCAGATAGTTTTAATCTAAGGTAATTTAATCTAAATTAATTCTGCAACACAACGAATGAAGTCTCATGCAAAGCTTAAAAAAATCTCCATTCACCCAGAGCAGACTGGAATCACTTGGCCTGCTGCCATGAACTACTGCAGAATCCAGGGGGTTATGTTCAGTGTCTCCAGCCCTTAGGTCTGTAACGTTTTCCTTCTAAGCTCAAAAGGAATATAAACCTACATAATGACACTTGGTCAAACATCTCTCCTGCTGCCACTGCTTTGAGCTTTTACAGTTGACAGAAAGATGAATGAATTTTCTCTATTCCCATTTGGAAACAGCACTAAAATTACCCATTCCTTCAGTTCCATTACTGCAGGGCACCAACTGGAAGCACCAAACCAGAGGCAGGTTATGGAACTAAGGCACTAACACTGTCTTGTCATTCACAGAAAATAGAATGCCAGTACTTCCATCCTTACACAGCTGCCTGGAAAAGACAAAAGGAACCTCTCTCCTTTAGCTAAGGTAGAGGAGACAGACACACAGCTTATCTGTCAATCTGTCCATCCATCTGTTCAAACTCATCCAACACTCTCTCTTCCCACCCTCACCTCTTCATTTAAGCAGGTTTACAGAGCTTAAGTATATATGTAAATCATGTCCAGGTATGCTCAACAGTTCATAAAATTGACAAATTGGACAAGTTAATTAGCAGTCTAAGTGCAGAAGAAAGCTAATTAGTTTGTTATTTAGTACTCTAGCTGCAAAGTAAACAAAATACACATTCAGCAACTATACACACTTTAAATATTGTGCTTGCAGGGAAAGAAACAAGACACATGGGGTGAGGAGAGAGAAAGAAGACACTTACTCTGTCTGATTAACCTTTTGTCTGCTACCAGAACGTTTTCTGCATCTACAATGATAACTTTCCCATCTCTTGGTCCAACTGCGAAGTTGTCAAAGCTGACGTCAAGGAGGTAGAGTGCAAATTCAAAGTCATTATTTGTCAGCTGCTCAGCTATTTCCATTAATTGCCAGGCCAGATCCACTCGTTTCTCCCATGGTGCATTAAAGTAACTCCACAGCTCTTCTCCAACGTAATTGACAGCCACCATTCTTCCACATGCTCCCAAGTACTTTGCAAATGGCCAACCCTCATCTGATGGGAAACTCTGCATATAAAAAACATTTTAAAATGTTCATTAATTTAGAACAGCCTAGATCTTTAAAGGCTTTTCAGTAAAATTTAGAAGAGAAACCTGTAGATACTCATCAACACTGTATTTCCATATGTTTCTAAGTTTCGAAGGGAAAAAAAACCCCAACACAAATGTTTATATGAGCAAGAGGCCTTGCTGAAGTACTAAAGGGACAGAACTGAAGGACCTGAAATAATATACAACCCAGACTTGCATATGCTGTACATACACACACATATATATATTCCTATACACAATTCCCCAAAATTATCTTTTCCTATTGGTGTCTTATACACATCTGTTGTAGCAATGTAAGTATACTTCCCATCAAGATGGTTTTAATTTAAAATACAAGATGCAAAATCAATTCTCTCTATAACCTAAAGGAAAAACCTTTACAAAGTGGCACCTCCTGCCCTCCAATACTGTCCCTTCCATTTTCCCAGTTGTCTGAATTCCTTTGAGGATCTTCTCACTTGGTATCTCTCACAGAAAGGATTACAGAGCAGATTAAGGTATAAAAGCAAGCTGAGGATTTCTTATGTCTCCAGTACACCTTAACAGTATACCTCCTGATTAATTGATACATACATACTCTGTGTGTTTATTACACACAGCCACATAACACTTTTATCAAAAGTAAAATCTGCTTCCAACAGTAGCTTTCTTGGAAGTTAACATAAAAGAGACTGAAAAAAGTAATAATGCATTACAAGCAATTGCAAAACAACCCACAGCACACCTGCATATTTTTCCTATTTCAGGTGTGCTGAATGTGCCCCGAGACTTCAATATGAACAGACAAGCATTCAAAAGGCATCCTCCAAACCATGCATCAGGAAGAAATCACAGAAATACTAATCTAAGAAGTGCCAAATTCATAGATGTTAGCACTCTAGGAATATGATGTAGACCAATTTTAACCATAGGGAGATACCACTTTGTGCACATGCTCTTTCTTTGTGCCCCACCTTGCTATCCTGTCACCAGAAGCAACTCATCATCAGTTCTACAACAGTGATGTAGCAAAGGTTTTACAACACTTGGGTTGAATAGCCTGGTGGGTTTCAGGATGAATGGAAGCTTTACACAGTGCAATCCACAGTGGCAGAAAACATTTATGGTAAATTGGAAAAAAGACACCAGAAGGAAACAGATATACACATGGAGAGCAGATTTGAACCACAAGACATGTCAGGGAAGAGCTGCCTAACTTAACAAACCTTGTCTATACACATGAAGAAATTAAATTCATAGTTACTATATATATTTGACATAGTTTGCCATATTTATGGCAAAAGCCATTAAGCTGTTCTCTAAGGTGGCCAAGTGTAGAAGACAATTTCTGGGCAAGTAACCATGTTTACCATTGCAAAGAACCACATTTCTTGATTGGTCAAAGGGACACCAGAGCCATATCCATAACAGAACAGGTTCATAGTTTTTGGGGTGCCTATGTGTCTGAATTCCAACTCTATTGATCACCTGATTTACCCATATAAGAGAATCAGGTCATGATAAATCCTGAAGATAATACAGAACTAATTTGATGTGTTTGGGGCCAGTGTGGTATTTTCAAGCTATGACACCATATAACTGAGCAGAACTAAATCTCTCGCTGACTGGATCTACTATGCAATAAGGACAACATTATCCAGTCTCCAAGCTTGTTTCCTGCAGGCTTCAGGGCAATTTTTGAAAGTGGTAAGTACAGCCAAATATCCACTAGCTCAAGACAAGTCAAGTGATACATCCCACAGTTAAGAGGAGCTTTTTTTTTTTTGACTTGCTTTGTGTTTAGTGAAATAACCTTCCAACAATGAAGTGTGTCCTGATTCAGTGTTCCTTACTTATTCTAAACACACCAATACAATGAAAACTCATGGCTGTGGCATCAATAAATGTCACCAAAATGACATTTCATGTGCATTTAGCATTACTGCATTCTGTCCTGGATCAAAACAAACCGAGAAGCAAATGGCTGTTGCCTATCAAATGAAATTATTTTTTTTTTTTACAAAGGAATGTGCCATTTCACTCAAAGCAGCAAGCTGGAGTTGGTGCAAAGGGATAACCTCCAGAGAACTCTGGGCAAGCAAAATTTTTTCATTCTAGCAAGTGGGATCAAGGGACATATGGGGAAACTCAAAATACTGCCTGCCAGTATACATCAGTTTAGTATCAGCAAAGTCCAAATACATGTACCTACTAGTCCTGTACCCATGCAAGCCTACCTTACCCATAAACTCCTATCTCAAATTGAAGAAAATTTACCTGATTACATTTTCTGCTTTCACCAACTGTGCATAACATTCTTGTACTGCTGCATTTTATCAGCATTCAATTCAATGACACCTAAACATTATCACTTTGGACCACTCCACTCCTTTTCTTTTCCACCCCTCACCTTTCCTACATTCCAGCACTGCTCTGCTTATGCCTTTGCCTCCCTTTCCAAACACAAACTCAACCCCAACAGTGGAACCTGGCAAAGGCTGTGCTTGCATTGGAAGCAAACGTGTCCACCTCTCTCAACCCATCAAGAACACTCATTTCAATTCCCTCCTTTGCATCATCAGGAAACCAAGGCAGCAGGTACTTGCTGGGCTGGTGTTCCACTGATCCATATCATCACATCATGCTAGGACTGTACTGGTAAAAGAAAAGGAAAAAAACCTGAACAGCCAGGTGCAAGCTGTGCTTGCATTGGAAGCAAACGTGTCCACCTCTCTCAACCCATCAAGAACACTCATTTCAATTCCCTCCTTTGCATCATCAGGAAACCAAGGCAGCAGGTACTTGCTGGGCTGGTGTTCCACTGATCCATATCATCACATCATGCTAGGACTGTACTGGTAAAAGAAAAGGAAAAAAACCTGAACAGCCAGGTGCAAAAGAGAGGGACTAAGACA